AGGTCAAGAGTTAATGTTTCCATTGTAACACCTCCAGATTTGAAATAGAAACACTCATTTTTAACACTCGATTTTAACTACTATCATTTTACACCTCAGAGTTACATTAAAAGAATGTGACTCTACTTAGAGTAAAATTAACTCTAAGACTACTAACACCAAAACATTGAACACTTTTGAATTTGCTGTGCTGGGATCGAACCACCGACCTTCTGGTTAGTGGCTGACCTGCTCTGCCACCTGAGCTACAGCCACCCACAATGACTTGTACATTATTTTTCTAAAGGAAACGCTGGATATTCTGGTCTGGGAATGTGGTGCTGTAGCTGCTGGCAAGAGCTACAGCACCACAGAGTTAATAGGGCTTTACCATAACTCAGGAACATGATGACTCAGCTTCAACCAGCCTAGACAGTTTTTAAAGTTTGGTAGATAAATGATATGAGGCTAAATTAACAGCTTTGTGTGATTAACCATGTTTACCATCCTGAGCAATATATCGTCTTTAACGTGGACAGAACACGGACGACTTTTTATGTTCTCTTTATACCAGAAATGTCCCCTTTAGGATTTCAATTATACTGAAATTCGTGATCATCAAAATGTTGTTCTGTATTTTCTTTGTCATGTCACTTTGATGTTTTACCTGCACAGAATTTTACAAAAAAGACTCTTTACTAGGACTAAGAGGAAATTTACTCTGAGCTCATGGAAAAAAAAGAGAGGTCAAGATGTTTACCAGTCTAGTCACGACTTGACTGGAGGCCAATCCTGGTCCAACTTCCTGCATGACGTAGTAACTTAAAGCCTGTATTGCTAAATGCTGATCAGTGTCTGGATTTTAAATGAAGGAGAAAAGAATAATTGTACTATCGTGCATTAAAAAACACTTTTGCTGCAATGGTTTAGGAATTTTTAAAGTCTTAAAAATCTGTTTTGATCAGACCCATCTTACTACTTTGATTTAACAAAAGTTTCATTTCTGATGTGTCTAAAAAAGTCATTCAAACATTTCAAAGTCCATTTTTGCACATTTTCATTTTAATAAAATAAATATTGTGCAATCTTACTGCAAACATTACACATCTTAACTCTCTTGTGTTTGTGTGTGTGCGATTTTTTACTCCATCTCGTATAAGTTTCATTTTTAGGGACAAAAGTCCTGTGCAGATCAGCTTCCTTACCCTACATTACTAAATTAATTCTTGGCCATCCCACTCTGACTCACAGGAAGAACAAAGAGTAAGTCAGCAGCACTACAATAGCTTGATACAATCTCAACTGAAAGAGGCCATAGAAAGAACTCTGTGTCTTA